GTTGAGTCTCTTTGAGTCGTTGAACGAGGATGGAGATGGGCCTCCCAGCTGTGAGGGAATGCCCTATGTTGTGCAGAGGAAGCGCCGAGCGGGGGAAGAGGTGTCTGCTTTTTTGGAGGCATAGGATGGTGTTGGCGGATCGGAGTACAGGGGGAAAGAGGTAGGCGTTCTAAGGTAAGAGATGGCAAAATTTGAGAGAGAGAGACATGCACAGATATGTCTAAGTGTCAGTGTGGTCATGCGCTGTCAGGACGATTGGCTGACGACAGAGAGTGGCGGCGTGTGCAGGTGAGCTTGTCATCATTTCTCGCTTTGCGTCCCTGGTCATCCTCTTATGTCATGGCCCCGTCTCTCTCTCTCTCTCTCTCTCTCTCTCTCTCTCTCTCTCTCTCTCTCTCTCTCTCTCTCTCACCGTCAACAATCCAGAGCAGGCATTGACACGACAGGCAATGATAGAAAGTAATTCTCAATTCAATCCGGGGTTAAGGGAGTCGGCAGACTACTCTCGAAATGTCGATTTTTTTTTTTGGGCGGGTGCATCTGGCCATCTTCTAGGGCGAAGCTCATTCTCATTTTGCACATTTGGAGAGTGGCGCGGCGTCGATGCCCTAATTGCAGAAAAAAAGCGTTTTCGAAGTTTGCCAGCGGAGATGTTGTCGCGGTCCGAAAGGAAGATGTATTCTTTTGCAATGAATTTGGGACCCCGACGGCAATTTTTTTTTTTGGGGGGGAAAAGTCATAAAACTTCCCCGCGACGAAACCTTTGTACTCGTTTCCCCGCAAACGGGGCAAAAAGTGTGGCCGGCCGCGAATGACTTTTGGCGTAATTTTTGCACCTTGGAAAACACTTTCCTGCCATTTTCGCCAGCGGGCGTGACGGCCCCAGCAAACGTGCAAAAATGACACGAAAAGTCATTTCGGGGTCTGCGACACTTTTTGCTCCGTTTGAGGCAAAATGAATACGGAGGTTTCGTCTGAGGGGAGGTCTTATAACGTTTCCCGTGAACACACTATTTTTGAAAAGTACCCTTCAATCAATCTTAATAGGCCGATTCCCGAGTGGTTTCGATCGCCTACCAACGATCGTTCTCGGGACGTTTCTTCCTCCGATCCCAACATACCCTTCACGCACCCAACCCGCCTCTCTGTGTGTCTAATACTATCTATCCATTCGGTCCGCTCCGTCGATCCCGACAGTTTTCTTGGTCCACATCTCTCTCTCTCTCTCTCTCTCTCTCTCTCTCTCTCTCTCTCTCTCTCTCTAGCGCGCGCGCGTCTCTTCTCCGTCTCTGCTCGCCCCCTTCCCTCTGTCATCTCCCTCCATTCGTTCGGCCTCTCCTACTCTTCCCTTGATCTTTGTCTTCTTTTTTTTTTTTTCTTTTTTTTTTTCATTTCCCTCATAGTTTTATCATTGATATTACCGTACTCTCTTATGTCGTGGACCCCTTCCGCAGAATCCTCGCCGTCGTCCATCACCCAGGCCATCACCCAATCCCCGCCCCCTCCCCCCACGTCTTTCGCCCCCGTGTTTCCCCCCCGTCTTCTTTCTTCTTGAGCTTTTCGTGGAGTTCACTTTCCTTGTGGCAACCCGAATCGTTGTCTTCATACTGTACAGATTCATTGTATAGAAAAGGAAAAGAAGAAAACCACATGCATCTCACAGGGGGGGGGCGGCACGTGTCGAGATGGATAGATTTCGCTGATGGAGTAATCGTTGCCCTGACGAGCTGCCAAGTGGCAATGCAGGATGCCACTTGGTTGTGGAGATCATCCGTCCATTGCGGACGGTCGGATGTCAATCCTTTTGCTGGAGGTATTGCTCGTCCTCTTCTAGTTTCTACAGTCCCGGGTTGATGGGATTCTTTCACATCTCCTTCTTTGCCTTAATGGGCTTTTCCACTCCCTCGGAGCATTTGGCTATGGAGATGCCCTCATCTTTTGGGTGATCGAAATGTGGGAGTAAGATGAGGGGTGGGGATAGGTAACTCTTTTTTCGTTTTTGATATCTCTGGGATTTGCGTATAGGTGAATTTTTTTTTATTTTTTTTTTTAACTACGCTATATTCTTCTCACAATTTCACCTTTCACTATCTACCTACCACTACTCCTAAGCCTATACAAGGGAGCCCTGCAAGCATAGCTACCTCGCAAAATTAAGGGGATGCATGTTACCCCCCGCCCTAATGTGCAGTGGTCAGGGAGTAGGGTCAGGCCACCTGGGGGGGGAGGGGGGACGGCTAGCGCAAAACCATGCCTGTCGCTAGTAGCTGCACCTCCCCTCTACTTCCCCCAGCCCCCTATCGAGTAGCAGCAGTGGCTATGGCCAACACCCTCCCTCACACCACACAGTACCCCTTCTCACGCTCACACTCACACCCGTGTTGGGGATAGACCCTATTAATACCGATCAGGGGTATCAAGCGGACTATCACAGTTTGTTGGTTGGCCCTAAGTGTGCCGCAGGGGGTCATGGGGCTCGAACGCACAACCTCACGCACAACCTCCTGATCGCCGCGTCCGTGCCTAACCAACTGAGCTAGGCCGCTGGATGTATAGTGCATTTAAGTCTGCGAGTACAGTACGCCTGGATGAGAAAAAAAAAAAAAAAAGAAGTGTGCGAGTACCATGACCAGTGTGGGTTCGGCGCCAGAGCAGGGAGAGGTGACAAAGAAGGTGTGGCTGGCTAGGAGGGAGACACACACCAACAGTTACTATTGATAAGCAGGTACTGTGTTCGAATCCGCATAGAATCGGCTGAAAAGTACGAAAAGTATGGAGAAAGAGCACACGAAGAGAAAAGAAAGACCCCGAGGCCCTATTGGTAAAACATTTTGTGATGTGTCTGCGGCAGTTCTCACGTCAGTTATTGATATAATGACCGTCCGTGCCACGTGTCTTGTTTGGGAAGAGGCGCTCGCAGAGGTAGTCGTTGTAACCTTGGCGGCTCTGTTCCGCCTTGCAGCAGCTAACAAGTTGAAAGATGCACTCCCAATGCTCCCTTTTTTTTTTTTTTTTTTTTTGATGCACCCAGGATTTGAGTCCGCGATCTAGTTGCCCTTCGCTTGCCTTCAAGTCGGGGTTCTTCCCGCTCTTTTCTTCGATTTTCTCATATGAACAAACAGTTGCTTTGATTTACTGGGAAGGGTGGGGGAGCATAACCTGCTGCATAAACGATAATCAGTAGTAGAACAAAGTGAACAAAC